CTTTCCCTAAGTGCTTTAAACCTTGTTAGAAGATTAAGCCTTCCTATAAGGCACAGGAATAAAAATACAAATAGCATGTTTCTGTGAAAAGTATTTTGAGAGAGAGAGAGAGAGAGAGAGAGATATGTCAGTTCCTAGAAAAGTAAAGGATACATACTCAGTGCAACATCAGCTTTATTACCATCTTCCCATGCAGTGCTACTTGATTACCAGTTATGTGTTTCAGAGAAGACAATTATTTTTTCTAATGTAAAACAGGGAGAGATCTTCCTCCTTTCTTGTTTACAAAAGTGATGCTGAAGAACAGGTTTTAATCTGACCTGATAGAGAGCAAGCAAATGTTTAAATTAAAAAAAGAAGCATTTTATTCCAATTTTGACTTAAGGGAAGTGCTCTAGTAAAACAGGAAACTGTACACTGCTGTAGTCTCTGCTACTGAGACCAGAGAAAAATCAGTGCTAACTCAAGTAAGTCAGTCAACGAAGCTTACCTGTAACTCAGTGCATGCAAGGTAACAGGTCTCCAGTTAATTCTTCAGAAATGGTGAAAATACACAGGCTGTCTCTGGTGAGCTTGCCTTGTGTTAAGTGGTAAATAATATAAAGCATTTAATGGCTAATGATTTTCACAGCTTTCTTTCAAAATGCTAATGATCTGCAATGGAGACAGGTACTATAGCAGCCACTTCATCAATAATAAATATATTCTTTATTTTACAGAGACATTGTCTTCAAGTTTTTAATTTAAAAAATACATCACTAAGCCACCTCTCTTGCTGCTGGAGCATAAAACCAGGATGTTGTTGCTATTTGACCTATCACATAGGCAAGCATATAAGATTGTCCTAGAGGGCATTAGCTGGAACAGCAGCAGCCTTCAAGACATGAGGAACAGAAGACATTAACTGACCCACAGACCCCTTGCTGACATCTTCCAGCAGCAAGCGTGGCTGATGGCTCACAGCCATTTTCATCTACACACATGCCAAGCCTGCCTTGGCAAAAATTCCAACTGGTAAGAATTCATCTTTAACATAAAGGACCTGCATTTATTGCCCGCCTATATCGCACATTTGGTTCTCCAACAGTAACGTTACAAACATCCGCAAGATGCTAAGCACTCAACTCCCATTTAAGACAGTGGGACCAGACCACGCTGGACAGACCTACAGGACCAGGCAATAAGGAATCTACTTTCTTCATTGCATGAACTCCATCATTACAGTTTGAAGCTGCATATGAAGATGACTCCTATTTTTGGAACCGCTATGCTCTACTTCAAGCATTCACAGTAAATAAATAGCTTCTGATGTGGCTAATTAGCATAGGAAGGTAATAAAAAAAATTTTTCTTTTACTTCTTTAAAATCCTCTGGGAGACACCTCCAAGAATCAGCCATCAGCTATAAAAAGGTACCATCTTAAATTTTAGGAAATAAGTAATGTCAAACACTGATTCTCACTGAAGTTTTATCTTCACATTTCTAATCAGTATTAACCCAGTCTATCAAAATCCATCCTCATTTGGCTTGGAGTCATTTCTCTGAAGAAACCAGCCAATTTGACCATCCAATTTGCTCAGCACCAGTGCATTTAAAGGTGATTTTCAACATGAGATACAACACTGGAAAAACTGAATCCCTACCACAAATTATTTGAGAATGATAGTAGCATCCTTCTCGGAGAAGCCTGTCAGCACTGTGTTGTAAAAAGCAGTCTGACAAGCAGTCAAGCCATTGGATGTATGACTCTGAGCACAGAAGCACATCTGCTGTCATAAAGCTAATGCCAAAGTTCATCACCCCACAAAGTGGAGCATGAGATTTCATTGCAAAAGCAGGCACACAACCCAAGTGATTAAGTTTCTGTGCAAGTCTTTGCATGCTCAAGTGGCACTGGTCACTATGTAGAAATGTTCAAATTTTAGGGAGGGTTTCCTTATATGATATGAAAGTTTTGGCAATCTAAGATCAATTATTCAAGCCTGCCTGGAAAACTGTAATAGGTATTTAAATACTGCAAAGGAAAAAGGTAGTTTAAGGAGCTCAGAACACCATAAGCAGTCCACTAAAAGCTGAGGGAAGTGAGGACAGGGGGGGAAAAAAAAAAATAAAAATCCACTGACTCCTTGTAGACCACTCAGTCCAAAAAAAAAAAACCCAACAAAACCCAAACAAAGAAGATTAATTAGTGTTTCAGCCATGGATGAGCTTCAATGGAAGCTTTGCTTCTGTCTCCATAGTCGTACAACAGTTCTTCACCTGCTTTAATGTCTCTGGAAGCGATCAGTATGAGATGAGGCACACCATCAATGTCATGAAGCTTTGTTTGACAATTGCCACATTTGCTGTGATTAATCAGTCTTCCCAGACGATTAGTTTCTTTTGTAGCATCAACACTGAAAGGACAAGAACAGAATGCAGGATGGTTGCATATCACACAAGCAGGGTTGTGGACAAAAAACAAGGTGCAAATCAGATAAAGGATGAGGAATCCACACGACGTGAAAAATGAAGGAAAAAGAACATTACAGAATATTCATCCAATTAAATGGAGAGCATGTAATATGGTGATGTAGGTAAACTAAAGCAATTCTGGGAGATTTTTAAGTTAGCACAAAACCCAGAAAACAGAAAACTTTGGACTATGTTTTTGACCTGCCTGTTTCCAAGCTCTCAACTGTTCATGAGGAATAGCAGAATCCAGCTGTAGAATACAACCAGAAAGGCTTGATACCTTAAATACCCTTCTCTCAGGAAAGCTGTGTCCAAGCTAAGCAGTATCCACTGAGTAAGCCAGCAAGAGTCTCTACTCACACGGAAGGCTGAGAATGCCTAAACACTACATGGCCAACTTCCAGAAACCTGGATACTAAAGCTCTGGTGCCCCTCATTGCACAAAGAATTGTTACGGCAGCTATCATTATGGCATCTAGACTGTAAGTCAGACACTTAAAATATAGGGCACTTCAAGGTAATTAATATACAGGTTAAGTGACCCACACTTTAGTATCCAGTAATATTAGCCAAGGTGGAAAGAACATAGCCTGAGTAGCTGCTTTGAGAGAACTGGAGTTTGGGGCAAATGTAACAGCAGATAGAGTGATAAAGCATGCACATGGGGTGGGTGTCAGGTCCTAGAGAAAGGAGATCCAGTCAAAGACAGTTGAAGGAAACGTTTCTCTTCCACAGGGTTTGTCCATACTGCTTTTCAAAGAAAATCCTTGCAACTCAGGAAAAGCAGTTAATTTTACAAGAGAACAAATTTAGGCAGAAGTCCATGGCAGAGCTAGAAGTCTCATCCAAGCAGATACAAGTCTCCATATAGCTTGTGCTGTACTTCAGAGAACAGGGCTTTGAGTTGCTTACCTTTTCTTTTAGCCCAGAGGTACACAAGGCTCTTGGACCATGAAAGAGGGTTCCAAAAATATTTCCTAATTCATGGTTACCATTTTTTTTTTTTTTGGCATGAAAAAAAGAAAAGACTTAGCAGCATTCAAAGCCTCTACCACTCAACTATCATCCTTAAGGGAAGAGAAGCTTACCAGTACGTTTTGCTGAGGTACTGAAAATAGTACATATAGCAGCCTGTGGATGGATCTTGAGCATACACAGCTTCTCGCTTTTTAGCATCAGTGATCTCTATGAGATCCCCATGATATTCAACTACAAATTCTCCTCGATTAAAATGTTTAGTAGCAATTACTCCTCTCCCTTTGCCATCGATGTAATCAATCTGTTGAGTTGAAAAGAAAATCAGCTGGGAAATTAGAAAGTATTTACATGACTTGCAAATATGCTGCTTAATAGGGAATGAGTGATTTGTCATTAAAAAAATGCTACAGCGGGGCATTTGTGTGTATTGCAGACAAAGCTGTGGAAGCATAATGCACAGCACTGTAGAAGAAATATAGAATGAGTTTAGAACACACCCAGAGTTACCAGGTATTTTGATAATCAAAATCAGTCTTCTAATCAAAGAACTAAGAATTTCTTTGAATAAACCATAAACAGAGAAGAGTTATCTATTTTTTTCTTTTAAGCTACCTATTAGCTGAGACAGTAAGCTTTTCCATTTCAGGTGCACCATCACCATTAGCATGCACAGGTTAAAAAGTTAGAGGAACAGAAAGATCAACTGCAGAAATTATATTTATCACCCACCAGTATACTTTATTATTCCTGCCCCATCCCATAAATCGGATAACTCCAAGAAAGTTCTCCTATCACTGTCATAGATGTGACAGTGTTAACTGCAGGCTGCTGCTTTTCAAGAATCGCAGCTCTTCTGCACTTCCAGGAACCACTGCTGCTTTAAATTCTAAAAAGGGTGATCTGAGTACCCCAAATAGTAAGCACTTCGTCTCAATAACTAGTACGTGCTAGCTGTGGGAAGAAAACCAGTACAACCCATTATCACAAGTGCCATACTGAAGACTCACAGTGACTGGGTGTAAACAAGCTAAGAGCATTTGTTACCATAGAGATAGTATATCTGGGTGTCACCTTTAAAACATATGACAATTAAGATGCTGGATGCTGTATCTATATCTAAATGCTATGATGATGCCAGATGCTACGCTATATCTATATCTTAAAACCCCATTTCTGGAAGCTAACCCAAGGAATGAGATACTAAAGGGAGCAAGTGCATTCTCAGTAAAGAGTATAAAGCCCCTTCAATATTTATGACTAAGGCTGCACATACATATTCTTCAGAGACAAATACTGCACATCCAAAGGAAAGACTGTGTGCTCCAGTTTTTGCTGCACTTTCATCTTACCATTGAGGAACTGCAGCATTCCAAGACTGAGTTCTACTACATTCTGCTTAAAGAGATTAACGGCAAGATACTGTATAAACAGCACATAGCTACGCAGGTTGGCACTGCAATTACCTTCATTCCTTCTTCTTTCCCACTTGTAATTAGCTGATCTATTTTCCTCCTCTCCTCAGTCTGCAGAAGAAACAAGAACAAATAAAACCACAGTATTATTGATAGTTTTTGTCACTTATTCTATAGCTAAAAGGAAACTACTAGCCAGTGACCCTCATTTTTCCAAACCATCCCATATTTCTAGCAAAACTGAATGGTAAGGCAACAGATTTCTGCCCCTCAAAATATATAAGCAGACAGATCCTATCCTAGAAAAACTTGATCAGCACTTCCAAATTTTAAGAATGTTCTTAACAATACTTCCAGCATACAATGCTCTTCGTATTGGCCAATGGAAATAATTTACAGATAGTTACGCACTTCCTCAAACGTTCAATTAACGTTATAAGTAATGTTATTTTAACAAGAAGCACTACCTCCAGTTCAGATTTGCTCTTCCTGGAACTTCTTCTAACTGGATAATAATCTGTCACTTTTCGATTTGGTGTTCTTCCTTGGGTTCTAAGGGATAGGAAAAAATAGAGAACACGCGTATTTCAGGCTATTTCGGAACTTAGACCTCTAGGACAGAGGTATCTAAGAAATTCGTATTTTCAGCTTGGTATGTTGAAAGGTGATCAATAGAAATCATTCTTCCCCACGCTATTTCCATTAGTCTAGTACTAATTCTTTAACAACAAGAATGAGATGCCATTGGAAACCAACTGAAGGTCACATTACAAGCCTGAAGCCCCCTGTGTGCCTTGCCAGAAGGCACTCTAAAATTTAGGTCATGAAAACTGCTTGGCAAGCGATTCATTAATGTTAGGTCACATTACTGCAATATCATGAGAAAGAGTACCAGCTCAGCCAAAAAGCCTCCAACTCTAATTAATCTAATATTCTGTTTCTGACAAGATACATTCCATTTGTTCACAGAAATTTAGGTCTTAATGGCTCATTAATTTCTTTTTCTATAGGTGATCAGCAAGTATTTCACTTGAGATAAAATAAACTAGCATTGCTTTCTAGAAAAACAAAGTCCTCTGCAAGGTAGGTATATACTTTGTGTGTTATTTTGTATTTTCAAACATATTATTCTTGAGAAAACAAGGAAGTCTCCTTTAAGATTTGTTCCCCTCTACATAACCATTTGCTTAAAAAAGGCAACAAAACAGGAATAATATTAATTACAGGTCTGACTGTAGTTCCTGAAGGAAAAATGCAGCTCAAAACCTCTTGGTACAAAAGGACACACAGAAGAAAAAGCTTTTACAATTCCAGAAGTCACTTACTTTCTCCTTGGTCCACGTTTTGCTTTAACCATCTTTTTCTGAGCTGGCTTTGCATTGGCCTCTTCAGCACAGTCTGAAGGCAAGGGCGTCTTTTGAGTTTCTACAGTTTCTTGGTTTTGATCAGAGGAGGGCACCGAAGTATTGCACCCACCTTCTTTATCTTTCTGGTCTTCTGGTTTCATAGCACCTTCGATTATATTGCCACCATTCTTTTTTTCTGGTGACAGGAAAATAAAGTAAGGCTCTGAACTTAGGATCATCTATACCAGAGTGCTTTAAATGAATTCCAAGGGTTTCTAGTCCAAGTTTCTAGTTCTGTCAAACAGGAGAAAGAGGAAGGGAATGATACAATCTCTTTCTGCTAGAACCCACATAGGCTGTTACTCAACTTTTGACTAGTCATTGCTACAGTACACATAGTACAGAAGGAGGGGTGAGCAGAGAAACGGAAAGGGTAAACCAGAGCCCAAGTACTTTGTCATGTTAGGTTGGCAACTCAAGAGTTTTCCAAACCTGAAGATGCAGCACTTTCAGTGCAGTGTTTGAAACAACTGCATGGTTTGCATCTGGCATACTAAATTACCAAGTTGCTATAAACTAATCAACATCCTGCACTGACGAGGGAGAGGAAGCCTCTCTGGATCCCACACTGCTGCAATCAGTAGCTGCAGACACTGGTAATAAGTGACCAACACCACTCAGACAAAACCCACAGGTGCTAAAGGGCTGGCACTTACAAGAAGTCTACCTCACACATAACCAACACTTTCTTGGTTGCATGCATCCTACCTTGATACGACCACATCCTCCTTCGCAGGCAAATGATTTAGAGGTAAGTGCGCACAGCTTAAAGCTAAATAAAGTTTTTATTTAAAGCAAATCACCAGGTTTAAACAGTCCCATCTGCTGAGACAGATGCTTCAACCTCACTGGAGCAATGAAGCACAGCTGCAAGGCCACAGCACTGGGCCAAGATAAAGTCAATCTTCACTTTCTTGTCAAAATTGGAGAGCTAAATTAGGAGTTAAAGGCCCCAAGTTTCCAGATAAGCTGACACTCCCTGTGTTGAGCAGGACTTAAAATACCTGCTTGCTAAAAGTGTTTGCATCAAAATGTTCTGACAAATTACTAAGGTTATTAAATGCACCTTTAAACATGAGCCAGCTTTTTTTTCCTCCTCCATAAACTTATGGAACATTCCCACTCCTAGTCACTACAGCGAAGCATCTATGAAGCTTGGCACTCAGCATCCACTATCTATCCTCCTCCTTCTCCCTGCCCTCATTTCATCCCGAAAATTTAAGAATTGTTTCTTCTTCTACCAGTACCTCTACCTCATACCTGATTTGACTTTGAATTGCCTTTATATAATTAGTATGAAGTAGTCAAATAAAATAAAACAGTTTAGGTAATAAAACAGACACCCCCCCCCAAATTACATAAACTGACAAACACTGACCTGAAGCAGCAGAGTTGTACTAGAATTGCAGGGAGACTTAAGGCATATTGACAAAGCAAGCATTAGCTTTTTATATCCAGAGAGACAGCACAAACATAGCCAGACAAAAAAACAGAGGAAAAATTGCCCAGTAAACCTATGACCTAGGTTTTGAAAAGGATAAGGACACCCTCATCTTTGTAGAGTCCCAGTTAGCCGACAGAGTTGTAACACTGGGAAAGCAACTGGGCCAGGATAGCTGCTTAGCCTTCTTGACTGTTATTAAAGTTTTCAAATTGGGGGTGGGGGAGCACATTTAATGAGACAAGCAAGGCAAAGATCAATCTTATCACTCTTACCATCTGCTTTCCTGTAGGTTTCATTTAGTGTTTTGCCCTGACATTTCACCTCGTGATACATGACAGAGTTTTCTTCTTGAAGAGGGGGGCGAGCACCAGGAGTTTTGTTAGGATTCAGGTAGCTGTAGATTTTGGATTGACCAATAAACACATTCTCCTAAAACAGACCCAGACAAAAATCAGTACATCACAGAGATGCCAGGTGCATCAAGCTGGTGTCCACAACATGCTGCAAAGACCAGGACTGACAGCTGACTGTGCTAATGCAAATTACACTGCTTTAATGCATCATCCTTGCTGCTGTTGCTATTTCTAAGTGAAAACATAACGGTGGTAAGCACTCAGAGAGCTTTACTAACGCAAACTCTCAGTCCAAGTGGACTTTCATACGAAATGTGGCAGGATGGGGTAGTCATAAGTAACTCCATCTTCCACCCTGTGCTTCACAGTATGAACTCTGGCACCAAAAAAAAAAAAAAACCAAAAACCAAAAAAAACCAAAAAAACACCCTTCTGAGCTCCTCAGAAGGAAGGCAGCCTCAAAGAGTGCAAGCCAAAAAAAAACAAAACAAAAATTGCTGAAGCCTAAAACACACCTCTCATAGCCACAGAGGTATGAGCTTACCCAAACACTCTCATGAGGTATCAAATGTTACTGCAGTTAATTACTGAGCAATACAGAAGACAGGAATCAGTTTTGCAGAGTCCACCTTGAGTGACACCTCTCAGCGAAGTCTGAGATAAACAATACTATCTTTTTATCCATTATATTTCACAAAATAAAGTGTAAAGTTGTTCATGGCAAGAGAAACATTAAAGAGTCTACACAAAGCACGCACGCCCAACAAGGAAAATGCTAAAACCCTCTGGCAAGGTGAAACACCACAGAGACCAGAGTCTGTACACTGGCTCGGGCTCCAAGAAAACCAGCGGTAAGCAGGATGAAATTTAGCAAACTTCAGTGGAATCGCTTTCACCATCTCCTGCCATCTCGCCAAGTTTGACTATGCAGTGCATGTAGGGCACCGATTTCAATTGCAAAATGCCAGTGTCTGGACAAGCAGATGCAACTTGGCCAGAGTAAGTTTGTCTTGGCTATATTTTGCTCAAATAAAAGCAATTTTCAGGCACTGCAAGCCAGTTAAAACAACAAAAACATGTATCCATTTTTTTAGAAAAGCACACAAAGGTTCCCATTAGTTAAAAAAATAGCTCAAATAGAGCTGACTGAACAAATACTCCAGTATATGTAGTCACACAAACACTAAAAAAAAAGTAAACAAAGCACACAATAGAATACATAGGATAATTTTAATAATTAGCATAATCATGAGTAACAAACTTAATGCGTACATAATTCACACACAAAATAAGACCAGTTAAAGGCTCAAATCTCAGTCCACAAATAAACTTTACTAAAGATTAAGACTATAGTAGAACAGCCTGGAAAAAAAGCAAGCCAGTTTGAGCCCAAATATTTCTGCAAGGCCTGTGAAAGACAAGACTTGCTTATTTAAAAAAATGGGGCTTTTAAGGATGAAATACTATGAAAGCATTCCATTTTAACAATTGCAAGCAGCAAATACTGTGCTACCAAGTTCTCAAAATTTAGGGAAGAGTTTAAATACGGGCATTTCCAGAGAAAGCCAGCAGCAAACTGCAGCAAGTCCACCTGCCAGCAGAGCCTTCTGGCTTTCAGAACACCATTAGCAGGAAACGAACGAGTATTTTTCCAGTACAGTTTCCTCCCCTCCCTCCCAGCTCCCTGCCTGCTGTGCTCTTGGCGCTACCGAGATGCGGCTGCCACGTCTTTGTCTGTGCCAGGCTTGAGACCCTCGAGAGCAGAGATTTTCTCAGCACAGCAGAGCACATGAAGGGCTGCTGAGGAGCTCTGGGATTTGATGCAATAGCCACAATTATTTCCACGGGTGGTTAAAGGCAAAGTGACGATCAACCTCCGGCCAGCTGCCTGCAGAGCTACAGAACTGCAGGACGGGGAAGATGGCACGGAGGGATTGCCGAGCCTGGGGCCTGGCTGCTGGCTGACAGCCCCGGCAGCGCCCCGCGCTTGCAGGGCAGCTGCGGCAGGGCACGGGGAAAGACGGAAAGTGTCCCATTCCACTTAAAGTTAACCGATTTCGGAATGATTCGAGGAGCCCCAGCAGCCAGGCTCCCGGGA